CCCTCTCCCTCTCCCTCCCTCCTAATACCTCTTTTATTTGAACATGGGGGCACTGTAGTTTTTGGAGTAGATGCCACACAGAAATAACATTCGAACCTCTTCACAGCCGTGTACAAACTGAGTCTTTCAAAGGCTTACAGACACAGAGGAGCAGGTCATCACAGAAATGAGGTTTCTTCAGATACTTAGACCAGGTATGAAAATGTGTTATTATTTTACAACATTAGTTATTATTTTTAATCAGTATGATTTATCCTCAAACATTATGTGATATAGACAGAATATCATTTTTTTCTTCTTTTACTTATTTGAATATATAGTGCATTCTATAATGCCATATTTCATTTATATTGAGTAACATAAACTTTAATATTAGCAATTCCAATGAGTCATAAAATTTAATCTAAATAATTTGTATGTATATGTTTACATTTTTACTATAATAAGCATTTATATTTACTCATATTTATATAAGCATTTACACATCACAGTAGTTATTATTATTAATTATGTACGGATAAATAGATCTTAAAACTGAAATACTAAAGGCTCTGAGAGTCCCAAAGGCCTTTAAAAACGTATTTTTAAAAAATTAACATTAAAGTATTAGGTTGATACATTATGACTTGTCGTAATCTTGTGAATTAAAAATATTGAAAACCTTAAACTTATTTTTGGGGTGTGCAATAAAATGTTTAAGGAATATATTCAAATATTTTGAAGGGACAATTGTATAATTATTTTAAACAATATTTTACACTTACAAGCAATAAATAGTTAAAGCAGTCATAAAAAAGAAAGTAGAGAGACACATCACATGATGATACTGTGTTGTTGTAGGAATTTTTGGTTAAACCTTTCCTGATTGTCAACCTGAATCATTTTGACAGTAAGTCAAAACGAGAGGATATACTACCAGTGACATCTTGTTCACTAATTGACACTTAATGTGTCTTATTATATAGTCTTCAGTGTGCTCTCCATCTGTTACTAACTGACTGGTTCTTCACTTGACCATGAAGTCTCCCATGGATCTTTACCCATGACATGTTTCAATCCACCCTCCCAAATATGCCTTTGTTTCAGCACATAGGAGCAGATGAACCAATGCCTAATCTATTGCCTTTTCCTGATGCACATTGTGAACAGACAATGCCAGCTGAATTAGTGAGACTACTGCTTCCACTGAGCACTTGATATGAATGGCAGGATCCATTCTGACAGGGCTAAACCTAACTTCCTAGCATGGTTATATGGCATTTTAACCAGTTCATTACACATTTCCATACGCCAGAAGGCCAGGGCTTTGAAGTTGTTTTTTGAGTGATTAAACGTGAAAAAAGAAAAAAAAAACACTTTAGATTAGAGAAAAATCTTTATTTAACTCTTAGTTATTCCTCACTTACGGGTCACACTTGTGATCCAAAACAGCCTGAAGTGTAATTTTTTAAAATTAAAGTAATGTAAAAATATATTCCCTAGTTATTTATTATAGTATTTTTTATTCATAATTACTTACTTTTATTAGATTTTTCAATTTGGATGTATATTTATACATTATCAAAGATGACTTTATCATGGCTGATTAGTAGATTGTACACCAGAAATGTATTTTTCATATATCTGTATTTTTATATTTCTTATTTCCTGTGGTGGTAATTTTTGACTATGAAGATCACAAGTGTGACTATTTTCTAAGACCATATAACCTTTTCTAATCATGTCCAAATTTATGTGTGTGTGTTCACATAGCAAGTGCCACAAAAGTCACCAAGTTTGGTCTTCATCAGTACCATTCTAATGAAATAAAAATATGTAAAAAGTCACAACGTAACATTTTTCAGTCTAAAATGACTGAAGACCACCAGAGGGGTTAAAACATGAATGGTCATTAATCACATAACAAAAATAATTCAAGGACAATGTTTGTTATTAAAGTGTTACACAGAAATAAAAGTGATTAATTCTGTATGTGTGGTGCAGAATATAAAATTACAGACGGATAAATTTTTTAATAATTAGTTGTTTTTTTTTAGAACTATCTTTGACATTTTTAACAGTGCCAAAAACTGACACGAAACACCTTTGATGACGATAATGTCTTTTTACTACAGCTTGTGTGACATTATGGAGACCAAACAGATGTGTTTCCTGTTTACTTGGGCTGATCATCTATCTGGGCTCTGTGGCTTCCTTCAACATCAGCCCAATGACAACAGGCCTACGCTCTGCCTTTTCCGCCACACGCAGCAGCAGCATATTGGGTGGCACTCAGCGTGCTGTGACCTTTGACCACCTTCAAGTCAACATTGGTGAAGACTTCAATCCAGAGACGGGCACTTTCCGTTGCCGCTTGCGTGGTGCGTACTACTTCTCATTCACAGTGGGAAAGTTCCCGAAGAAGATGCTGTCGGTCATGCTGGTGAAGAACGGGATGGAGGTGCAGGCCATTGCATATGATGGATACCAGAACCAGGGCCGCAAGGTTCAGAGCCAGAGCGTGATGGTTAGTCTGAAACCTATGGAAACAGTGTACCTGCTCCTTCAGGACAATCCCTACTACGCCATCTACAGCAACGTTGGACCATACATCACATTTAGTGGTTATCTTGTCTATCCAGACTCTACATCCTCTGTTGGATATCTCAATAACCACCTATCTCCTCCAGGCCTCCATCTTCCAGGTTGTCCTCCCCCTGTAGATGCTTATTATGATTGGAGAAGAAGAACAACCAGTGAGGAACCACGTTCTGCATTTTCAGTGGCAAGAACTACATCAGTGCTGGGAGAAAGCAGAGTGCGTCGTGAAAGAGAAGCTCTCAAGTTTGACGTGGAGTATGTCAACATAGGCGGCCATTTTAACATAACATCCGGACGTTTTACCTGCCACTTCCCCGGTGCATATTACTTTGCATTTACCGTGGGAAAGCACCCTCGTCGTGCGGTTTCAGTGAAGCTGATGATGGGAAGAGGGGAGGTTCGGGCTATGGTGTTCAATGAGGACATGTCACGGCGGAGAGAGATGCAGAGTCAGAGTTTGTTGTTGTCACTGAAAAGAGGAGACAGTGTCTGGCTGTACAGTCAGCAGGATGACGGATATGCCGTTTACAGCAACCAGGGACGATACACAACCTTCTCTGGTTTCCTGGTCTACCCTGATGGTGAATCCATGAACATAGACAGAACTTTCCCCTGAGAACCAAAGCCAGCTGCAGTACTGATGAAAATATTGTATATTTTTTTGGAGGGGGGGACTTGAACTTCATTAATGACTTAACAAGCATTCAGGCTTTTTACACTTGAATGAGTTAACCCTGGGTCATTCTAAACAAAGGGTAAACGGAATCCTGCTTTAACAATTAATCATGGGTATTAATATGCTATCTAAACCCTGGGTTAAAGTTCTTTTTTGCATATTTGCAGTGTCAGTTTTATTGATTGGACGAATTCAGCATGTGACCTGTTCACGTAAATGCTCTTGCTATAAAGTTTTACTATCAAGTGTTTTTTAATTTTTTTTGAATGGACCTTTTTCGAACTATAAAGGTAAAACGGTCTCTTCTTTACTTCAAGTCACGTGTTTTCCATCACCAATTGACATTTTCCCTCAGACACCAAAAGGACTGTTTATACTACATGCATATGAGGCACACGATTGGGCATCTGTTGTTAAGCCCAGCCGTAACATTACAGGTGCATCTCAATAAATTAGAATGTCATATTTAACAAAAACCCACCAATTCATCTCAACAAATTAGAATACTTCATAAGACCAATAAAAAAACATTTTTAGTGAATCGTTGGCCTTCTGGAAAGTATGTTAATTTACTGTACATGTACTCAATACTTGGTAGGGGCTCCTTTTGCTTTAATTACTGCCTCAATTCGGCGTGGCATGGAGGTGTTCAGTCTGTGGCACTGCTGAGGTGGTATGGAAGCCCAGGTTTGTTTGACAGTGGCCTTCAGCTCATCTGCATTTTTTGGTCTCTTGTTTCTCATTTTCCTCTTGACAATACCCCATAGATTCTCTATGGGGTTCAGGTCTGGTGAGTTTGCTGGCAAGTCAAGCACACCAACACCATGGTCATTTAACCAACTTTTGGTGCTTTTGGCAGTGTGGGCAGGTGCCAAATCCTGCTGGAAAATGAAATCAGCATCTTCAAAAAGCTGGTCAGCAGAAGGAAGCATGAAGTGCTCCAAAATTTCTTGGTAAACGGGTGCAGTGACGTTGGTTTTCAAAAAACACAATGGACCAACACCAGCAGATGACATTGCACCCCAAATCATCACAGACTGTGGAAACTTAACACTGGACTTCAAGCAACTTGGGCTATGAGCTTCTCCACCCTTCCTCCAGACTCTAGGACCTTGGTTTCCAAATGAAATACAAAACTTGCTCTCATCTGAAAAGAGGACTTTGGACCACTGGGCAACAGTCCAGTTCTTCTTCTCCTTAGCCCAGGTAAGACGCCTCTGACGTTGTTTGTGGTTCAGGAGTGGCTTAACAAGAGGAATATGACAACTGTAGCCAAATTCCTTGACATGTCTGTGTGTGGTGGCTCTTGATGCCTTGACCCCTGCCTCAGTCCATTCCTTGTGAAGTTCACTCAAATTCTTGAATCGATTTTTCTTGACAATCCTCATAAGGCTGCGGTTCTCTCGGTTGGTTGTGCATCTTTTTCTTCCACACTTTTTCTTTCCACTCAACTTTCTGTTAACATGCTTGGATACAGCACTCTGTGAACAGCCAGCTTCTTTGGCAATGAATGTTTGTGGCTTACCCTCCTTGTGAAGGGTGTCAATGATTGTCTTCTGGACAACTGTCAGATTAGCAGTCTTCCCCATGATTGTGTAGCCCAGTGAACCAAACTGAGAGACCATTTTAAAAGCTCAGGAAACCTTTACAGGTGTTTTGAGTTGATTAGCTGATTGGCATTTCACCATATTCTAATTTGTTGAGATAGTGAATTGGTGGGTTTTTGTTAAATGTGAGCCAAAATCATCACAATTAAAAGAACCAAAGACTTAAACTACTTCAGTCTGTGTGCATTGAATTAATTTAATACACGAGTTTCACAATTTGAGTTGAATTACTGAAATAAATGAACTTTTCCACGACATTCTAATTTATTGAGATGCACCTGTATACTAACACTGTTTCACACTGTATGTGTTTGGCACCGCAATGTGGGGTTAACAACTGCTCCAGAGCAGAGTTTATAACCCCCGGAAAAAGCGGTGCTAACCCTACTTCTAAATTACAAGTGTGAAACATTCTTTCACCTGGGGATTAGATTGACAATAACCTGGGGTTAAGAGCAATGCAAAAAGCCCTTATATATGGTTAGCAGATCATTAATGTACGTTAAATTGGAACTTTATTCAAATATATTCATATTTAAATGTAAATGAACTACTGATCTGTTAAGCATCATATCATTTTTGTTAACTTATTAATGAACATTATTATAAAGTTATTATTTCTTGTAAGCTATAATTGTTTAGCAAGTTATATTAGTGTGACTGTCTCATATAGTTAGAAGAAAAATCTACGTAGACACAGTTGATGCTGATTTTATTGTTCCATTGTATTTACTATTGTTAACAAGTAGTACTTTAACAAATATTAAAAGTGTCTGAAATCTTCCTCATGGTTTATTTAATTTTTTATTTTAGCACAAAACTGAGATCTATATGTGTTTTGTTTCAAAGTATTCAAGGATTCATAGTTATAATGCTTATGTTTTTCCTCTTTGTGAATTTTATTTTACATCACATAAAACAATAAAATAATTATTTCTAGCATTAAAAAGCCCCAACCAATGGATGGCGCTTTTTTTTTTTTTTCAAGTATTCACAGAAACTGAACTTCTGTTCAATAACATTAAAACTTCCCGAGTCACAATGAGAGACATTTAAAAAAAAAAAAGCATATATAGTTTTAATATATTTAATATTTTTATACTTACACTCTACAGTAAATTTGTACAAACTAGATTTAAAAATATTTCTATATGACTATCAATTTAACATGTTATTTTAGTGTGGTTAATTTTTAAAAAAGAAAGAAAGAAATATAGTGGCATGGTATATGGAATGGAAATAATAAAGTGGAAATAATATAATAACTAACAAACAATATATAATTGGTCATTTCTTGTATTGTCTTTAATATTCAATGCTAATATTCAATATGTGATTGATTGTAATTATTTGATTATTACTTGGAATATTATGTAATTAATTCAATAAAAAAATAATTTAATCAGTTAATTGGCAGGCATGATTTTTTTACTCTACAACAGAACATTCAGGTTTATACACCATATAAATATTCAGAACATTCTATTTGCACTATATTAGTATCCACCGGACTATAAACATTAATTATTAAATACAAAACATTATACTGACGTTATAGCCATAGCAGAGTGGTTCTGAAAATATAAGGCTGTGTCTGGGCCATTCATCTCAGGCTGGTGGTTTGAGTCCAGGATCTGTGCAACATGGGGGACATGGTTCATAAAAAAAAAAATATATATATATATATATATATATATATATATATATATATATATATATTACATTTTGTGTGTGATTCGTTGGCTCACCTGATGTGACTGTTTTCTATAAGATTTAATTTCTGTGTCAGCATATGCCACAAAATGGATTAATGTGTAGATTCTGAAACAAAAGAACATAATCTATTACTTACAGTGGGTACGGAAAGTATTCAGACCCCCTGATTAAAACAGGATGATATATACCCATACTAAAACTGGTTTTACATTTATAATGTATAATATACATTAATAGTATAATGTATAATACACTTGATTTTCTACTTTTTTAATTGAAATACTAAAATAAAATAGGTCTGATCATTTTTAGCATATAAAACAAAAATGTCTCTTTATCAGTAATTGTGATTTTATTCTTGTGTGCATGGTTAGTTACCTGTGGTAAAGCATTGCAACAAACTGCATTAACAGCAATAATGCGAAGCTCAGTAACATCAGTGCGATTGGATCTAGGGAAAACACTTCTGTTGTGGACTGAGTCCCATTGGGATAGATTTTTAGAATCTTTATGGAGATTGAGTCGCCAATTGCCTGAAGGAAGAAAGTTGCCACCAGCCAAAGTGCATTGCAGAAGAAAAAGGCAAATGTAACCTTTATGGAAAAGAAAAAACAAGTATTTACTGTTCCAGAGCAAATACTTTAGACAAAACCACATAAAAAGTACTTTTTGCATGCTGGCATACTGGCTTAGCTCATTTCGGAGTTCTCTCAGATCATCAGCAATTTTTTCCTGTTGCTCTTTATTCACTTTAAGAGGTTCCAGATATTTCTTCTGCAGTTCTCTCCAGAAATCGATTTCATCCTGGAGCATGTGAAAAGAAAAAGAGGCATTAAAGCATATCAGTGACAATTTACATAATGCTATCTAATCAGCAACACAATGCATAAATGCATGACATGGTCAAAAATGCAGTTGTTGTTGTAGTTTAGTGTATTGAAACGGTAGTTTAGTGTGGTCAAATGATAAATTTAAAGTATAAATATGCAAATTACATATCTGAAATACAAAAAGAAAGCTGCAAAATGTATTATGGCACAATAATACATGGCTACTTTTGAATAATACAATAAAAAAACAATTAAATAATAAATAATATTTAAATGAAATTATAAAATAATATAATATAATGAATAATTGATAACTGGCCTTCGAATTATTAGAAAATAATGCACACCCGAGGTGGTGATGCGGCCACAATGCGAAGCGAGTGTGCATTATTTTCTAATAATTCAACGGCCCATCATCAATTATTCATTATATTATATTATTATTATACTATAGCATATATCAACGGACCGGAGTTACCACACCAGTGTTTCCCGCACATAGACTTTATTTGGGCCTGCCGCCCAAGTATATTTGGTAACACATTTTTTGCTTTTCATTATTTTTATCCTGTTTACTGTTTTATCCACCCAAGATGATGAAACCATCTGCAATCGATTTAGAGGCCGTTCACATGTCTCACACGCTCTCCAGTGGTGTATGCCGTTGCTAAGCAATCATGAGCAATCCTAAACCAGTTAGATTTACCAAAGGGAGTGCAGATTCATCCAAGGGAAAGTCGTAAGATTTCATCTGCAGATGTTCAATCCAAGCTTTTGGAATTAAACACATATTAGTTTTAATGGTAGTCACATTCAATGACTCCACCTAGAATATTACGATATTAAAGGGATAGTTCACCCAAAAAAGAAAATTCTGTCTATCACTTAGACCTACTCGCTGTTCCAAAGCTCTATGAATTTCTTTCTTCTGCTGAACACAAAAGAAGATATTTTGAATATTGAGGGTAACCAATCAGTTTCTGGTTGACTTCCATAGAATTTATATTTCTTCTTTATTCTTCTTCTTTTATGTCCAACAGAAGAAATAAACTCGACAATCAGGCCTTTTTTTCTACTTGACAAGATGTTGATTGATGGACTGGAGTCATGTGAATTCCTTATGGATTATTGTGATGTTTTTATCAGCAGTTTGCAGGGGTGAGAAAGTGATGTAATGCTAAATTTCTTCAAATCTGTTCAGATGAAGAAACAAACTCATCTACTTATACTATACTAGATGGCCTGAAGGTGAATACATTTTCAGCCAATTTTCATTATTGGGCGGACTATTCATTTAATGCCCATGGTTTTGTGCTTAGCATATATGGGCCTGTTGTTCAGGCGTCCTCATAATATTTAGCCTGTTATACTAAATATACTGTTTATATATAATTTCACAATGGTAAACATCAGTTTACAGATAAACACATATATTTGGGCACAAAACAAGAATGGTTACATGATTCTCGAAAAGAGAGACCGCAGGTAAGGCAGTACAGATTTTGAGAACCTTAAAATATTAGATGAATCACACAGAACACAAACAGACATAACATTTTTTTAAAAAGCCACAAAATCCTCAGATGAAGGAAAGCAGATTTTAAACAGAGGTGCCAAGTAGCAAAAGCCAGGTAAACATTTACAAAGGCATTACAATATCAAAATGTGTACATCAATCCTTTCTCGAAGAGCTGATAATGTCTTAAAATCTTCTTATTTCCTGTTTTACGTGAAGTTTGACAATATATTATGTTTACATTACATACTTTAACAGCCCACTTCTCTGAAAAGTGTGTAAACTCCTCTCTTTGGCAGCTTAGTAAAAGTCTCTGGCATTTCTCCTTCACTTTGCCCATTTTTTGTACATTTTCTCTTCCACAAAGTCACTGAACGTCCCAGATCTCACAGAGGAGGGGGGTGAACTTGTGGTCGCTCATGCGCCATGACTCCAGCATTTCGTCGTGGTGGTGGTTGAGGGTGCGAAGCTCAGTCAGACGACCGAGAAGTCGTGCAAAGTGCTGGGGTTCGTGGGGATGCTGTAGTTTACAGACCTTCCTCAGCACCTCCAACATGGGCTCCTGCAGACGCTCTACTGCCTGCTGGTCCTTTACATATGGTCTGTCTGTTGTTTAGATAGAACAGTTTCAGTCATATGAAACAAATGTATTTCGTTGTGGCCTTCTGAAGCATGAAACAATGACAAAAATGTGCTTTTCAGTTGTGACCTCCGTTAATCATTAACCATTTATTACCTTATTTTTGGAACAGTACAAACTGATTACATAAAAACCTGGGTTTTAAATGGGTTAAAATGTTTCCATCACATGATGCTTATGCATTTGCATTGATGGTTACTTGGAACATGTCTGCCTTAGTAACTAATAGATTGGGCTCAGTAAGATTTATTCATTTTGTTGTTAAATCATTTTATTCAGCAGGGACACATTAAATTGAACAAAGGTTACGGTAAAGACATTTATAATGTTACAGAAGATTTCTATTTCATATAAATGCTGTTCTTTTGAAATTTCTATTCATCTTTCTAAAAAAATGTATTATGGTTTCCGCAAAAATATTAAGAAATACAACTGTTGTCAACATTGTAATAATAAGAAATGTTTCTTGAGTACCAAATCAGCACAAAAATGATTTCTGAAGGATCATGTGAAACTGAAAACTGGAGTAATAGCTGCTGAAAAGTCAACTTTGCCATCACAGGAATAAATTGCATTTTAAAATGTATTAAAATTACTTTATTTTGGATCAAACAAATGCAGCCTTGGTTAGCATAAGAGACTTCTTTCAAAAATATATAAAAAATAAATAAAATACCAGCCCCAAACTTTTGAGCAGTCGCAATTTTTCATTTGCCTTGATTAGCAATAAATTAAACCAGGCTAAACTACTTTAACTAACTTGATAAACTAACATTGATCTGCATTCTGAAACTTTTAAAACTTTTAAAACATTAGGTGACAGATGGCAGCTCACCTGGTGAGAGGATTGTGATAGCAGTGAGGAGAGCATGTTCCTCTTGCATCATCTGCAGCTCCCCAATGCTTTTATAGAAGTTAAACATGGGTGTGATAAACTCTTCAGATATCCCTGTGGAGGAAATAAAGATATTCATAAAGATATACACCACATACGCCTTTTTTATTTATTTTTTGGTAAATCACTCTAGTATTGAATGTCTAGTACAACGTCAGTTGTCAAGTCATTTATTACCTCAGCCACCTGTGACCACTCCAAAACATATTTCTTTAAACCTAAGAGACCAAGGCAGGCACATATTCACATACCAGCTATGATTTAAAGTTAAATGTCATGCCTTCTTTACTAGACTAAAGATCACATTAGTTAGTACATACTACACTCAGCTGTGGCACTGTAATCTTACGTCCATAAATTCTGTATATGTTTGAGCTTCAATAAATAAATCTTATAGGCACACTTCAAGTATTCAGTAGTAAAACTGTCTTTGTTGAAAGTACGAAATTAAGTGAATGTTTTATAAATGACCTGTATCATTCTGAGGCCTCAGGGTGGCAGTGTTTCCTATTTTTAAAAGTAACAGTGAGTGTCCTATGGATTTACTCAATCACACAATTTCCTCTTAGAAAGAATCTATCCATCCATAATATAAAATGTAGGCCTATTGCATTTAATCTTATGCTCTTTTTAATCTGCTTTTGTCTTTTTGTTGATTATATGTTGAATTTGCCAGTGAGGTGAGAAAATACATTTAAAATACACTCTTAAAAAGAACTATTCATATCTCGTGCAAGTAAATTGATCTTGTCGAAGGAAAATTCATATATTCTGTCTGGACAAAAATGAGAAATGGTACAAAATATATCTTAAGAAGATGATTTTGCTGTGTATTCACTGTCTGCTTTGGAAGATACTTTCTGAAACTCCCTCAGTGTGCAATGGTAGATCATCAGGGGTCGTGACCTTATTGCTTTCTATTGTCTGTTAGGTCAGAGCTGATCTGATTCTGGCCTCGGATCCCCACAGCTGTGCGTTTCCACATTCAGTGGGATTCTCAGTAAGAGCAGTTCATTTCAAGCCTGTCTTTGAAGGGCTTTCCTGTTTTGTGCGAGGCCTTTGTCTTTATCATTATCATTGATATAATTATCATACTGTACTTTACTGGCTATGTGAGCTGAGAGCTCTTTTCTGATGTAAAGCATTCAATGTGAAGAGCCATAAGGGTTTGGTTTACAGACCGACCAATCAGGGAATCCCTCAGTGGGAGATGACACACTGAAGACAGCAGGGACATTAAAAACATGCCTTAATTCAGCTTACCATAATGTTCATATTAAAAGAAAAACAGTGCTAGAGTGTTACAAACTCTTCAAAAACTCAGTATATAGTCGCCACCCCCGAGAGAGGAAATGATCGCAGCATGTGGACTCCTTTCACGGTTTCATTCATTTCCCTTCAGATGAAAGGATAACCTTTGTCATAACTTTCCAAAAAAAAGGAGGGAACAAAAAAAAAAAAACAGACGCATCACGAAGGCTTCATGCCAGAGAAATGTCAGAGGCGATGAGTGGGGACAATAGGCCTCTCGATGTTTAGATAGAGAACAATAGTCTCTTTAGACAGTGTGTCTATTTCTCCCCCTCTGGCCTTTTGCGTGAATATTCCTGAGCCCGTACTGGAGAGAAGAAGAGTGATGGACTCAAACAGTCTGTGCCACTCTGCATTCATCTGCCTGTTTAGAAATATTACTAACTGGATGGTCCGTCGCAGCTTTTTTTAAATCTTGAGAGGCTGAAAGCAACTTTGAAATAAAGGTGATTCAGTGTGCAACATAGGTGGGCTGCTTTAAGATGCTTTTAAGAGACCTAATTAATCATGCATCCTTCCTTTAACCACAGCTCTTCTACAAAATCTGATTAGATGTCATAAAGCAGAAGATATATTGAATGGCTACGTGAGGGCTTTCCTCTTTGTGCTGTTCCTGGCAGTCATCCAGTGCTCAGACTTCTGTGAAACCGAAACCAGTTGGACTTTAGTGTCCTTTAACACATGTAATGTACACCACGGGATTATCAAGATGGCAAATTTCCTGTCGTTATTAAGGGCGGACAGATACATTATTAATGTAACGTGCCTAGTGAACTTTATGGACTTTGTTCTGGGCTCTGAGGATCTCAACAAGTATGTGGCATACTAGTTTGAAACCCAATCCCAGAGCCATGATTCCTTAGAACGCGCCATAAAAGCAGATAAAGGTCATAAGTCGTGCTGTAAATTATGCTGCAATCCAAATAATGAGCTCACCACTCCTTCTGATCCTGTCTTCTAGTACCTCTGTGTGTCCGTTGGGCAGCTTCTTGGAGAAGACCTGGGCTGACCGCAGAAACATTGCCTCTACGGCAGAACCTTTTAATAAAGCGATCTGATCTTCATGATCCAGAGATTGAAAACCTGCTCAGAATACAAGAACCCGATAAGTATGTTTGGACTGGAGGTCTGTAGGACTGCAGTTATTGCATTCTCCTAATAGGACATTACTGTCATATAAAAAGTGTCACATGACCGTTTCTTGAAGTATGTGATTTTATTTTATTTTCAAACAAGTGGTATAGAAACTGCAATAGAAATAGCTCTTCTAGAATTTGAAAAACAGTACCTGGTATATTTTTTGTGAACTCAACCAGCACCTGAACATGACTAGTAGCCATTTCAGTCAGTAGAAGGAAGTTTTCTTCTGCGTTAAATTGCTCTTGTAGCTATAGACAGGTTAGAAGGGGGAAAAAGCATGCAAATAAGCCACTGTTTTGTGACATTGGGGTGTTGATAACCTCAGTTACGTAATGATTTAACAGCGATAAGAACAGGCAAAGTTGTTTACTGACTTTAACAGTAGCATTTGGCTGCTTTGTGCATTAAAGAATCATAAAAAGATTTAAAGACATAAAAAGTTGATCTAAAATAAGATTAAAAAAAAGATTTTTGAGAAGACATACCAGTTTTCTTGCCATATCCTGAGGAATGCGATGTTTGTTGTGAGCGTCAACTATATAACTTATTAAAGCCTGCTGGTCTTGGCTCAGTTCTATATTCTCCTGAAATGAGAAAATGTGCCAAAAATCATAAATTTATAAACCTGTTTGGATTTGGAGGCATTTGGATCATGGACAATCCAGCTATGTGGAATAAGAAATAAAGATTAGTGGTGTCATTTTTTTAATAACTAGCCAACTTTTGATCCTGCACAGCCATTTTGCAACCCTTCATCATAAAATAATCTTTTAGAAGTAACCGTATATGTGAGCAAAAGTGAGAAGAATGATGGTGAAGAGAATCATTGAGGTTGCCCTTTAAACTTTTATAGCACTTCAATAAAAGGTTGCCATAGAACACCCTTAACTTTAGTTTGCAATTATGCCTGAAAAGTTATACTGTAAAAAACATGGCACCATGAAAACTGTAAAGCTGAACAATAAAAAAAAGACAGTATTTTTGTTTGCTTTGAAAGTGGAAGTTTTCTAGAAAATTATAATAATAACCCAATCAGACAGCACCTGTGTTCTTACCTTGGAGGGTTTAGTGGTAGATACAACTTGTTTAGCATCTCTACAGTCACCAACATCATCCCCTGTACTTTCATCAGATGAGGCCTTTGTGTTTTTCCTCAGCCTTTTGGATTTGCACTGGATTTCGGTTAACAAGCCTGAGGATGCAAATACAAAATACATAAATTAGATACAGATTGGTCAGATTGACTTTTTACATGCAAACAGTTTTTCTCTAAGGTTTACTGTATGTACAATCTATTTTGGACTCTGTTTTATGCTAAAAGAATTAGTCTTGTGAAACAATAAAAATGTAATATTTGATCTGTTTCAGCAATATTTATGTAAAACTCAATACAATATTCATGAGCAACAAAAGCTTAGAAAATACAGCTTCTTCTTTTCTTCCACAGACTAATCTCAAGTAAATCAATATTATTTGAACCCAAACCATCTCATATCATTTGTTGCCCAAAGAAAACATTGTACAGCTAGTTACTTTTTGACTATTTGACTACTGTATTCCAGTTAATAACTTTTATTGAAAACCGCTGTTAAAGTGTCTCATCTGATTTCACAGTATGCGTGACTCTCGGGCTGATATATTAGTTGAACAGGAATACGTTTTACAATGTTTGCAGTGTTCTTACACTCTGCCAGCATGCCCATCTCTTTGCACTTCCTGAGTCGACACTCTTGGCATTTCCTGCGCATGTACATGTCCATCTCACAGTTTCCTCCACTCTTGCATTTATATACAGCATTCTTTGTGATACTTCTTCTGAAGAAACCTGGAAGAAATAGCACAGCATCAACAACCAAATAACTGAAAATGTTCAATATGCCACACATTTCACATATAGTATACTATAGTGTTGCAGCAGGATCCAGATTTTTGATAGAATGTCATGTAGTGACCCAACACAGAAAAAACTGAGAAAACTAAAAGTGACAAAACATAGAAATTTATTAATATTACCATGAACATCAAAGCCCAAACAGTATGTATTTCTAACATAGAAACAAAATCTGGTTCCTAAATATCTTTTGAATTTAGTTGCAATTTATGTAGTCTAGTCTTGGTCATTTTTTACACCTTTTTAAATTTTTCATGGTATTACGAGGATAGAAATTGCATTTTATTATTGACATTTAGCTTTGTTTTTTAGCATTGCGCCCTTATCAGAACAGATCTGAAATCCATTTTTGTGAGTGACACAGAGAGTGACAGATCAGATGGCAAGAATAGACATATAAAAGCATTCAAGAGCATATTTCATTGCTTAATAATTTTCTCTATAACCATTCAAATTCAAATTGCGAAATTCGCATGACATACTTTTGTACGTATTGCCAAAGCATTACAGGGATTATAATCAAACTATTCTCTAATTCTGAAAACCATAAAAAATAAAAAAAAATAGAAGCAACAGTGGCCAACATACAAGTCTAAACTCTTTGTAAACACAGATCAAGGAATAGGTTCATTGCAGCCCATGTAACGTATGGTGTAATGTTTAAGACATTACGTTCAGTACTGTAATACTGATACTCTTGGATGCTCGATTTTCAGTTCTAGGCAGCAGACAAACATGTGCAGTTGTTTTTGGAACAGGTAATTATTCCAGCATGAGCACAATGACACACATTAACTTTGCATGGTGGCGTGTGGCTCTGGTTGCCTACATCATTATTCAGCAGAAAGCTGAGAGGGAACCCAATCCAAACTGAACGTGAAGGAGCACCAAACCTAGCCAAGCCTGTGGGACTTGGGACACATAGCCCAGCATCTGCCCTTTGGACATTGTCCATGCACAGGTGGAATTACACTTGCAGTCATTCAGCCAATGATTTTCCAAAGAGCTAAATTTGGCGCATGGCTTCCATGTCAATTATTACGTCCTTCATAAGCTATGTAGCCATGTAGCAATGTAAGACCAGGCGCACTATGATATCTATGAAGGTTCAAGGGTGAAGAAAGAGGTCACAGAACAAAGGTGCAGCTGTACATTGTTACAGTATATATATATATATATATATATATATATATATATAT